CATTCTTGGGTAGTCCCTGGCACATATAAAAAATCAAGATTATGTAATTTCTGTAAACATAATCATTTACTAGTAAACAAATTAATTTTTTGTGACATATTTTTCTTTCCATTTTGGAAAGTGGACTATTTGTTCATTCCTGGACATCGCGAACAGTGGCCAAAACTTGTGACGACAGAATCCTGACAAAGCACCTCTTGTTACGGCGTCGACTTTATTGGGCCACGCGGACGCTCCATGCCCGCGCGTTGGATAACCCCCGGGCGCACGCATTCTGCGGGCGTGCGCGTGCCGGGGCGTTTAGCGACCGGCGTGCGCGCGTGCAAGTGGGTCGGGGTCGCGGGCGGACGCGCGGCGGCGGCGGCGAGGGCGGCGGGAGCAGCAGCATAAGGCTGCGTGGGAGTCGTCTGTGGGAGCCGCCATTGTGCGCGGAAGGTCGCGGGCGGCGCCCTGTCGTAAGCGCCCTGGCGCAACGGCGCGGCGTCGCCCGGGGCGGTCGCCCTGGGAACGCGCCCCAGGCCGCCCCGGCGGGCCGCGCGGGCGACCCGCCCCGACCTGGAACGCCGCCCCGCCCGCGCCGCCGGAAGCGTGTCGAAATGCCGGCGTCGCGGCTGGAGGGCTCCGGCGTGAGCTGAGCTGAGGCAGCTGCCGGAGCGGTCTGGACGGCAGCTGGAGAGCTCGGTTCGCGAGGGTTGAGCTGGACGCGCCGCGATGGGGCGGGGGCCGCGAATTGGAACTTGTGTTGCTGCGACGGACGAAGAGGGTTGAAGGTGGTATGTTGACAGGTGGGAATGGTAGCGGAAGATGGGATGAACGACTGAGGCGGGAGACGATAGCTGTAGAGTAAGTGCGGACTTGAGCAGGGCTGGGACGCAAGGAGCGGAGATAGAAAGAGAACACGGAGAGGGGGGGGGACACGCCCTGCTATCTGCTGACGGGGGCGACATATGAGACGGTACGAGGCGGTAGCGAGACACGCACGACGCCACACTTGTGTTTGGGTCGCGCGAGGGACTCGCACGGGGAACCCACGGGAACGGGTTCGGGACTGGTCGGGTCGGGAGATGGGGCAAGGGGTGGGGTGGTCGGGAAGTGGGAGAGTCGGGCGAGGTCAGATGGGGCGCAGGAGCGACTCGGGGCGAGGAGGATCTGGGGCAGAGGCAGATCGGTGCAGGCGGGCGGCAGTGGGGCGGAGCGCACGGGACGCGGCGGAGCTCGGCACAGCGGGCGGGGCGGGACGCGTTTAACGAGACCGAGCTGGGTGAAGCAGCCTGAGGGAAGGCGGAGACCATGTCTGAAGCGGAGACTGTCGCGGGGTGTGAGAGGGTAAGAGTGAAGATGATGTTGTGCAAGACGAGCCTTTTAAAGAGTGTGTTGAGATGCGGGTGGGTGTGGTGCATAATGCAGCATGCGGGGCAATTAGGCGGGTATTAACCTTTGGTGAGACCTGAATACCTGCAGGTGTGTTCAAGTAAAGGTTATCGTGATTGTAAACGCCCCGTAATTTTGAGAAAAGTTGTTACCATCATTGTCAAATTAGGGCATAATACATTCATGCGTGATTATTTTTTTATCGTACGCTTTAAAAATCTGTTAAAAATTGATATTGTGAAAAGTATATTGACAATTGTTCATTGTCCATTTCTTGTTGCCAATGAGAGTTGGTAGTGTAAAATTTACCATCATAAATAACAGGTATGACTGGTTTGAATTGTAATGTGCATGGAGAAAATTGGAGAACTAAAATGAATGTTGGTGTAAATAGATGAAAATATTAATTAACACAGAAAAATCTTCAAATACTTGTTGATTTTTCTATTTATTACCCTACATATTGAAGTTTTCTGAAAAAGTGTGTTTTGTTATCACTAATGTTATGAAAGTTTTGTTTATATAAACATACGCTAATAGTATTTTATATTTCTTTAAACATCGCATTTATTGAACTAATGAATTTTGCTGCAGTTGATTGCACGAATGTTTGTGGATTTGTCGAATTTTAAAACTTTTATTGAAATTCTTCAAATGCAAACAATTGGCAGGCATATGAGGCGTCTGTCAGACGAAAAGAAAATTGTCGACTAGTAGATTGTGGGAGTTCTGGCGTAATTGATGACGTCACACCGAAAAGAAAACACGAGCGGACTTTTTGAACAGCTCGAATACTTAGTATTCAGGCGGATGTGACGTAAATGGTTATCTGACCTACTTGGCCTGAAGAAACTCGCAGTTTTTCACTTTTCGGAAATAAAACTTCGACGGACAGGTTGTACTACACATACGTACGATGGTGTTATGCATTCTTGACTAAGGAAAATGATACTTTAATGTTGAATAATTCATATTGTACGTCTGACTCAATTTTTAAACTGTTTTACAAAGTTTTACTATTTGTAACACTCGAATGAAGAAAAGTAGGAAATGAATGGTGAAATAGCTTACAGCTCTTTCTTTTTCTCTCATTATTCAAATTTTCTAATTTGGGCTCATTCATAATTCATTGAAGGAAACATATGCATTTTTTGAAACTGAAATTTTAAAATAACGTATTCTCTTCACGGAACATTTTCGAGTCATTTTGGCATTACCTAGAGGTTTCAAAGAGAACAGTTAAACTACAAGTATTGATGTAGTAGTATCACCAAAGTATGTTGTGGTTTGGATATCGAAGAACTAAGAGTTCGTTCGTAGAATCATTCAATCGTTTAGCTATTAATCAAGGCGAGCTTCAAATTATGCGTTTCGACTTACGCGATTTCTGTTATACTTAAGAAAATATGTTATTTCGAAAAATATTCTTTTGATGCGTATTTTAATGGATTTTACAATACGCAGAGGAAAATATTAATTACTTGGATTCCGAATTTTTGTTGAGGCGTTAATACTTTTTTACATAAGTATCTTAACACGCGTAGTTTCATCGCTGTTCACGCAGTTTCATAAAAAGTGATTACCAAATATTAATCAAACAAAATCACGCATATTTTATTACACTTCTTAGATAATTCACTGAACTGTGACCTTTTACGTTTTATTGTGTAAGGACGTATATTATCACTTCTCAAGCATTGTTCCAACTGTCCGCGAGACACGGTTTGCACGGAGTAATGCAAGAATTAATTAATCAAGAGCTACATTTTCAAGAAATTTTTGGAAAACAATGTTTGTTTGTCAGCATCTATTATTAAATAAATGTTATATTTGGGTTCTGGCACAGCAGATCCCAAGCAATGTAAGAGTTGTTTTCATATTTTTATTTCAGTTATTTGCATGTGCAAGGAAACTTTTAAGTGCTTTTGGTCTGTTGGGCACTTCTAAATGACTACATCTCTACTGATGGAATGTCTCATCCCAGTACATTGAAGAAGAACATTATTATTAGTTTGTTTACTTCATGTTTACACCTTCAACAAAATTTAATACATCTGCGAAAAAATATACTAAGGAGTTGCATTTCCAGTATGTAACTTTTTAAATTTCTATTTATTTTAAGTAGCATTTCAACGTTTTGGTCATTAGCGTCCAGATATTTAGGTTTGCCTTGTTAAAAGGATTCGTGTTTGCCCGCGTAGCAGGAGAGAACACGAAAGTTTCATCTTTATTTATTTAACTAAAGTCAAGGAATTGGTAAAAAAAACAAACTATAAGACTTTGTTTTGTTCTAGCGCGTGCGTCTGTGCTCCGCAGCTTCAAGCCCAGCTAAAATAATACAAATAGTTGTTTTCCTTTTATTTATTTGATTCAATGTAACCAGTATTGCTTCGTCAACTGTATGTCCGACCTGGGAGGTGATTTGCACATGTGCTAAGAGAGCATCTGTATGTTGTAGCTGCAGGCGCAGTTAAAGTAATATAAATAGTTTGTTTCCATTCATTTCTTTGATTTAATGTAACCAATATTGCTTGGACAACTATATGTGATATATATGGCAGGTGATTTTCTAATGCGAGCATCTGTGCTCTACAGCAGTAGGCGGAACTAAAAATAATATGAGAGTTGTTTTCCCTTTGTTTCTTTGATTATAAGTAACCAATATTGCTTGGTCAACTGTATGTCCGACGTAGCAGATTATTTACACCTGTTCTAACACAAGTGTCTGTGCTCTGCAGCTATAGGCGCAGCTAAAAATAATATAAATAATAATTTCCTTTTATTTCCTTGATTTATTGTAATCAATGTAACTGAATGTTCGACGTGGCAGATGAATTACAGCTGTTCTTACACGAGCTACTGAGCCACGCAGCTGCAGGCGCAGCTAAAAATAATATAAATAGTTTTCCTTTTATTTATTTGATTATACGTAATCAATATTGCTTCGTCAACTGCATGTTCGCCGTGGCAGATGATTTGCAGCTGTTCTAACACGAGCTTCTGTACCTCCCGCAGCTGCAGGCGCAGCTAAGAATAATATAAATAGTTTTCCTTTTGTTTCTTTGATTATAAGTAACCAATATTGCTTGGTCAACTGCATGTCGTACGTGGTAGATGATTTGCAGCTGTTCTAACGCGAGCGCGTCTGTGCACCTCGCAGCTGCAGGCTCAGCTGAAAATAATATAAATAGTTTCCCTTTTGTTTGTTTGATTATAAGTAACCAATATTGCTTGATCAACTGTATGTCGGACGTGGCAGATGATTTGCAGCTGTTCTAACGCGTGCTCGTCTGTGCCCCCGCAGCTGCAGGCTCAGCTAAAAATAATATAAATAATTGTTTTCCTTTTATTTGATTTGATCAGTATTGTAATCGTGTAAATTATAAAAATATAATGTAATCAGTATTGATTCGTCAACTGCATGTCCGACGTGGCAGATGATTTGCAGCTGTTCTAACACGAGATACTGTGCCCCGCAGCTGCAGTCTCAGCTAAAATAATATAAATAATTGTTTTCCTTTTCTTTGATTTGATTTAATGTAATCAGTATTGCTTGGTCAACTGTAAGTGGGGCGTGGCAGATGATTTGCAGCTGTTCTAACGCGAGCGCGTCTGTTCCTCCCCTGCAGCTGCAGGCGCAGCTGGAGTACGGCGAGTTCCAGCGCGAGCTGGCGCGCATCCTGCGGCGCGTGCCGGAGCAGGACGTGTCGACGCCCGCGCTGCGGCGCCAGCTGCACTTCCTGCGCGTGGCCGGGCCGTCGGCGCTGCCGGCCGAGCAGCTGGAGCGCTACAACCGCCTCATCAACGACATGCTGGCCGTCTACAACGGCGCCTCCATCTGCGCGCACGAGAAGCCCTTCCAGTGCGGCCTCACGCTGCAGCCCGGTCAGTCGCGCCTTCGGAGGGCGATTTAGATGGTGCTAAATTGCCGTGAGCAGGGGGGGGGGGTGTCCTAGAAAATGTCAAAAAGGTGTCCTGCAGCCCTACGTTATAAACCATTTTGTTTCTGTAAACATTAGTAATAATTTACTTTTTTTTAAACCAACAATTTGGGTAATTATTTCACTTTTGAGGAAGAGACCCTCAAGATCGTCAGGCAATCCTGTATACAGTGTTCTGAAATAAGTTAAAATGAACTTTGTTTCGTTTAGTAAATCAGTTGTAAGTACTATATACTTTGGCACAACAGCTCATTACGAGGCAAGGCCTACCAGCAGCGACTCGGCCTTGCGGCCATCGGTTAAGGGGGGATACGTGTGGTTAGCGCAAAGTCATTCCTATGCTCTACCTGAGAAGTAAGCCTTCTCATCGTCACACAGCAACAGATACTGGCAGTGGCACTGACATTGGCACAATTAACCCGACCGGGAATCGAACCCGAGGATCCGTCGTGGAAAGCGACCACGCTAACCAATGAGCCACAGAGAGCTTTCTAAGTAAATCAATTATACTCATTAATTCCAAGAAAAATCAGTGGTTATCACCGCTATCAGCTTCTTCTAATATTTCATCAGGAATAGTATGTTCAGTACCATCCATCCATTTTCTAACATACAATTCACTAATACAGTTACATAAAACCAAACCAACGCAAGGCACACAACACAAATATCGTTTACGGCTACAGAGTACAGTGGAAGTAAACATTTGTTTGTGGTACTCATTGATGTAAAATCAAATGTATATATTACTTGTACCATTGAAATTGTATTTTCATGCTCCTTATAGTAGGTTTTATTTATTTGATTTCCATAGAATTTAACATCCGCTGGCAGGTTTATAAATTGCATTACACAACACCATTGAGTAATACAGTACAACAAAAACCACTCTAGGCACACAACACAAATATCATTTACGGCTACAGATGAGTTTTAATGTTTACACCGGAAGAATGCATTTGAAGTTCTTTTAAAAAAACCCTTAGTCCAAAAAGTGAAATTTTGGGATACTAGAACTGCTGAGAGCTTCTTAGCCGCTATTTGCTGACAGTAATGTTGTGAACAAAATGAGCCCCTGTGCGTAGTTTTTAACTCCGAAAGTTTAAGAAATTTTGATAAAAGAACTCTAGTCCAGAGGCTTTTTTTTGAAAAACAAAAACAAAAAAACAACAAAAAAACAACAAGAAGCAACAACAACATAGTCCTACTTAATTTTTTGAAAAAACACCACACCACATACTGAAGTCCACCTACACCCCACATCTTTCCGCTCTCCCGAAAAATTGTGTATTTGCACTATGGTTTTTTTTTAACTTCACTTTTTTACGGTGCTCATGGATGTTGTGTTGGCAGCGCTGACGCTGATCATGGCGCGCAGCCGCGACTGGGAGGAGCTGCAGCACGTGTGGATGGAGTGGCGGCGCCACACGGGCCAGCGCATGCGCGACCTCTTCGAGCAGCTGGTGGCGCTCAGCAACGACGCCGCGCGCGCCAACGGTGAGCTGCTTCACTCATGTCGTTAGTGATAGTAGATAGGTGCAGTGAGTAGGCGTTGCTCATCCGCTGGTAGCTCGGTATCCGTCCCGGACGGCCCACGAGTTGGTCTCTTGCCCGCCGATTGTAGGCAAGGAGTGGTGCGTGCCGTCGGCTGTCAACTACCTGCAGTAGTCTACTAAGCACCTGCAGTAGGCTCCTTCAGGGATGCGCGGCTGGCGGTTGGACTGATCTGTTGCAACGGTAGAACTAGCAACGGTCGTCCAGGGCGGGGTGACTGTTGAACAAGTCCCATACTCTGGTGGGAGTAGGAAACGGCTACGTGGACGTGCGTTTCCCTCCCTCACTCATGTCGTTAGTGCGTACATGGGCGAAGTGAGCAGGCGGTGCTCATCCGCTGGTAGCTCGGTTTCCATCCCGGGCGGCCCACGAGTTGGTCTCTTGCCCATCGCTCGTAGGCAAGGAGTGGTGCGTGCCCTCCGCTGCGAACTACCTGAAGTAGATGAGCGGATTGTTCTCGATATGTTTTCTCGAATGAGTTTACCTTGTAAGACTCAGATCGGTGTCTTGCCATGAAATCATACCATTTCGTAAGAATTGTTGAGCTCATGAGTCATAATTTTAAACCATCATAATTTAAATTTTAAAATGTGTGTGATAGACGACGATAAAAAACTGGACTCGTTAAAAAAATATTTTCGCCCAGTTGATTTCGTGCCAGAGAACCGTTTAATATATTAGAATAACAAGTAACAGTCGAAATAATAGATTGTATAGATGCAACAACGTACGATGGAAGACTGAACAAATATTTTTTTCTTCGGAGATATTTCTTTCTCGCTACGGATAATATATTACTTAAAATATACTGATGTGGCCACCTTCAGTCTCCTTGTACCACTAAAATAACCATTCGCAAAGTCAGAATATCATTCACTATAAATTAAAAGTTACCTTATAAAAAGAAACCAAGTTATACATTTGATCTGGATCTGGATCCTCCATCTCGGACGTCGGTTTGGTCGAGTTTCTCCAAAATCCTGAGGCCTCGGATGAGATGGTCCGTTATGTTCTTCTTGAAATCAAAACTATATTTGTGTCAAACTTTGTCCATAAGTTAATATTTCTTGTTAGTACTATGACGGATCGCACACTTCCGTGAATAGTGTGAGTGAAAAAACAATTCTCCTTCGTTGAATAACCCGCCGACACAAGCAATCAATCGAGAAGCCATCGAACTCCCGACCGTTCTGCAGTCGGCCAATCAGAAACGAGCAGAAAATCTTTGCGCCTGAACGGGTTCGGATCAGATATTCATTTGTTATCGAAAGACCCTGAGAGAAGATGGCTGCTAGTAAGTGTGCGACGCAATCTTCCGTTGGATCCACGGTACGAATGGAATTGCTTTCTAAGAAGTTCAGATCAACTCTGCCCAAAGTAAAAGGTAAATATCCTTTTATCTAATGTGGAAAATAATTAATGTTCAATTAGGAATACAGAGAAGATCATAAATTACAATGATACAATACGTGAACGAGGTGAATGCAGGTCACAAGAGTTAGCGTGGTATGTTTTCATTGAGCTCTTCTTGTTGTTATTGAAACTTCTTATTACAATTTGAAACTAAAAATTATATAAACCTGCAAGGTATGGTGGTTTATTATTGTAACTTAGAACATTAGAAACAAGAGGGGATTGATTGCCCTTAAAACGTGAGAGAAGGGGTGCAGCTACGTGACAATTTTCATGAAGGGTCACAAGAAGCCACAGCATCAGGAATCTGTTGAAGGTAGAAATATGCCATTTTTTCCAAAGAGCGAGTAAATATTGCAGAACTACAGCGGAAGAGAAGGCACCCGAACAGTTGCCTTATTCTCAAATAATCAATTGTGTCAGGAATTCTTAGTGTTTATCGAGTTTTAAACTTATTTAAAATAACAACAAGTTATAAAACAGCTAACTTCTTAAGGTAACTTAGCAGCAAGCCAACGAGCAACCTTTGTGGAACAGTTGGCGGCGAGAGCCGGGCGCTCAAGGTCAGAGTTCCAAAGAGGAGGGTGCACCGAATTAACGGGACAAATCGTTTGAGGGACGACCCGCTTGTTTCGAGTGCTGATAAATTTTGCGTGCTGACAGTGAGGATGGAAAGTCCATCAGTTATTTTTATAAAAAGGTGCATCATTTTAAATAGTTTTATTTATTGTTTTGTTAATATTATTTATAAAGTTAGACTATATTTGTATATTTTTCTTCCCGAACTTGCGTAGATAATTGTAAAACTTTACCACGCAATTTTATTTTTGTATGTAAAAGCTATGTAAGTGGCAACCACAACTCCAAAGCATAAAATTGGTTTTATTAATTCTGAAATTCGTCTCAACGTCCTGAATAAGGGCTTGGAAATTTAGAGAATAGATTCTCTCTACACTAAATTTCGAGATTTCATATTTTGGTTGTGAAGGAGTGTAGTTGTACTGATAATGGATTTTTCGGTATAAGTGGCTTTAATTTCTTGGTTATCGCCCAAGATTAGTGTATCTGCTTTTGTGGATTAGTGTATGTTGTCTTGCAGCAGGCAAGCAATTTTTATGTAAGTTCCGTTAATTTTCGTTCTGATAATCGATGAGAATAATACAAAGTTTAAATGTGTTTCCTAACGCGAGTCTGTATTTTTTTAGTAATTTCCTTATTTTAGTAGTTTGCCAATCTACAATGTCAAACCTTTAGTTCTTATAATTCTTTCCACGCGTACTGTCAGAGAAAACTACCAGTCTAAATTATTCTGCACATTTTAGTAAACATCTGGGCAGTAATATAATTAGTAACCAATAGGCAGTTAAATAATTAGAAACCGTGCAGGTGATGTGGTCTATTTTTCAAAACCAGGATGTATCATCAATCTGCAAAATAGGCTATAAAGGCAGGGGTGAGGACGCAAATAATAAATAGTTTTATTCGGTCCACTTTAGACCCTGATATGTAGTTAGTGGTATGTAGTGGTGGATTTGGTAGGGTAACTGAGAAATAGTAAATTTATCCAAACAGTAACCCATTCTTTCAAACTAACACATTGTTAATTCACTCGTCTTAACAATTTGGTTACTTTGGCCAGCTGTTATAAATTACCAATGTATACACTCTGGCAAGGACCTCTTTGAAAATCGTTGTTTTAAATGTAAAAATAACTTCATTCTTCGATCCGACAATACCTGAACTTCAAATGCCCTGTTCTATTATTGGTTTCGACAGCCCACTACGGGCCTTGGCCGACCAGCGGTGACCCAGCCTCTCGGCCAAGGGAGATGGGGTTTGTGTGATTAGCTCGAAGATATCCCTTCACCGTATATACTGGTCTTCATAACCTTAGGGTAAACTTTTCATCGTCACACAGCAATAGATAGTGGGTTATTTGTAAGGGAAGCGGCCGGGAATTTCATGTGAAATACCCCCCCTCCCAAATATAGGCTTCAAATGAAAGGGCCGCGACATCAGTCACATCATATCGGAACATCGTTCACATCCTGTGCGGAATATAATTCTTTTTAGAAAATGGCTAAACGGTTTAGCCGCTATCATTGTTCAGAGACGGTCCTCCGAACAGACATAGAGACGGACGGACAAATTGTTTGCCGTCATTAATTTTTTCGGTATCAAGAACCAACACATGTATTCGGATTCCACCTCATATTAGAGGAATTTTTCTATATTTATCCATTGGATAAATCCACTAGAGCCGTGTAATAAGAGTTCTTCTGCAGAAAATTCGCCGTTTTTTTTTCGCGCAGCTTTATATAACTCTCTACTCCGTAGCCAGACAGATGGTCTAATATTTTTCGTGTTCTAATTCTATTTCATTCACTTTCCTTTAGTATTAAATGACTTACCCCCCACTTTTTCTTTCTTTCAGTTCTTAGAATGTTAAATATATTTTCCAAAAAGTGTAAATTATTAGCAACCTTTATTATAATTTTGTTGTCAAGTCAAAAAAATATTCACGTTTTAATATTTTTGTTTTTCGTCTTGTATTAGAAAACTAGAAAGCTGCTATTTTAATAAATAATATTGTTGGCAATGACGACGCATATAATTATTTCATTAGAAATGCCAACGATAACTCACCACAATACCTATAACGTAAATTTGGTCTAAGATCGGCCGATAACATTTAAATACTTTGATGAAGTGTTCTGAACTTGGCGAGAATGTATTAAATGAGGAAGGAGAGAACACAAAGGAGAGGGGAACTCCAATGGGGAAAGATACGTATCAATTTTTTTCGTTAATAAGTAAGAAAAATAAAACTAGTCGCCGCCCTAAGTAATTTTTTTTAGATATTTTCACAATGTTTCAGGTACCCAATGGCAGAGATGAAATATGACTTTAAGAATATTACAGAAAAGTAAAATCTTGTTCTAGATGGACATTTTCGTTGAAAAATTTGGAGCAATTTTTAACAAAATATCGTTTAAACGTTACTGCAAGTGCGAAATTTGAATATCTTTTTCATAGAAAACTTTTGAGTTTTCGAAAAACTAGTTTAGAAGTCCTTTAAAGCACATCTGCTCAAGTTTTTTCGTAAATTATTGAAAGAAAACTAGTGCTTGGACAGAATGGCACAGACTTGCTCATACTAGTTATGGAATCCAACCTGAGGAGTCATTTTTTTTGAAAATTTGGAAAATGTCCCAGGTGTTTCGTGTAAAGTACTCCAAAAATTAAAATATCGGTTTTATATTCGAGGGGCCGCGACGTCAGCCAGATTGATAGAGGAGCCGCCTCCGCCGGAGGGGCCGGACGTTTTGCCGTCATTAGATTTTTCGGTATCAAGGACCCACAAAACTTGGATTATTTATACATCACGTGTTAGAGGATTTTTTCTAAATTATGCAACTAGATTTATCAACTGTTTCATTACCAAGGTCCTATAATTAGAGTTTTTCTGCCCCAAATTCGCCGTTTATTTACGCAGCATTATATAACTTTCTTTCCACTGCGTAAGTGGTAACGAGGAAGTAACTATGAAAAGTAGGAAATAATGCTTTACTACGAATTGCAAATTAAGAAAGAAAATTATTTTAAGGGAGAGATGAGGATGCGAAAAAATACTGCATGGACATCGGCCGTGAAGTGACTTTGTCAACTTCTGTGGATAGGGAGCCTGGCGGGGTGGAGCGTAGCGGAGTTTCACGCGATTGAAAAAGTACCCCTTCACGCCTTTGATACATAAAGTACTATTTCACCATTCATCCATGAAAACTAGAACTTACCTTCAGTGTTTATTGCGTGGTAAATGTTTCGGTGCGCCAAATTGGAAATTGCTGTATCCCTACCACAAGTCAACGGCTACGAAACCAACTGGATTCTGCAAAATAAACAAAACACTCCTCCGGCATGAATCAATACGGCTGCAATCTCGCATACTGTCAATGATTCAAACAGTTAATATTTTGGATGTTTCCATGAATTCATTCTAAAAATGTATTATACACATTTCATAGGAAGGTGTCTTTAGCTTATTCATTTCGGACAAAGCTTTTATCGTCCGCATTTCCTTTTTTGCCCCAAAGGCACACGTTCTGGTCTAGTTACTTTAATAACAATGTTTGGTTGATTAAATCGTACGTTTCCGCCGCCAAAGTCATATTTCCGTCGTCCATGTCATACGCCGCGTTGAGGGCTGTGATGTCGACAGAAAACCATCCAGCCCTGAAGAAGACCACGATACAATGGCGTCATTGTCCTCAACGCGGTGTTATCCTTACAACCGATTTTTTATGTGTCTGCGTGCCACCAAATTTCAACCCCGGCCGCAGGTTGAAGGCAAGTGGCAAAAATGATTTCATGCGTGAGGTATGTTTAAACGTGTTGGTATTTGGGTGCGCAGGGCTTCACGACTTCGCGGAGTACTGGATGTACCCATACGAGTCGGACGCAGGGCTGCGCTTCGACGTGCAGGAGGCGTGGGACGAGGTGCGCCCGCTGTACGAGCAGCTGCACGCCTACGTGCGCCGGAAGCTGCGCGACCTCTACGGCCCCGACAAGATCAGCCGCCAAGCACCGCTGCCGGAGCACATCCTCGGTGAGCATATCTTAGAGGAGAGCTTATTCTCTTGGAGATACAGTAGAACCCCGCTAATCCGAACGCCGCTATTTCGAATCCCGCTATTTCGAACCCTGCTATTACAAACCCCATTATTTTGAACATCCCGCTATTTCGAACATCCCGCTATTTCGAACATCCCGCTATTTCGAACATCCCGCTATTTC